CTGGCCCCACTAACACCTCTTCCAGCAGCAACCTTAGTTTTTTTAAACCTTTAGTTTGGCAGAGAGGTTACGAGGGGACGAGATCTAGCTCAATTGGGCACCAGGAAGCCGGGCGGTTTCGGGAAGGGCTGGGAAGCTCTCACCAGCTCGGGCAGCCGGTCCAGCACGTCGTTGATCTCCTGGCTGTACACCAGGCCGATGTGAGACTTGCCCATCAGACGGCGAACCTTCTTCCGGATGTCATTCTTATTCATCTGGCGGGGGGGGAGACGAGCCCAGCGTCACAACGCACAGTGCCCCAGGACCACAAAATACCCCCCCCACAGAGCTCTTCTCCTGCGCAGTCTGTGACTACGAGCTCACTGGCATCCCATAACACTGCTTCAATTACCGTACTTTATTATTCTCTACTTGAAACTTCCTTTTCTCTCGTCGCACAAGCGTTCTGCACCTTGGGCACAACTTTGGGGTTTTTACGACGTCTAGACGCAAAGCGGCAACATGCAGTGCAGACAGGCAAAGTGGACACTGCCAACCTTGCGAAAAATGGAGCAAAAATGACATTATTGCATTAGGTACTGTGGGAATGTGGATTAACCTTTGTTGTCACAATGCATTCGGCACAGTGTAAATGGACTTGGGTAATAATGCAAAATTCAGTCACATACCCCCGTGTGTGATGGAAAGACAAGAGGTGGCCATGCGCTGTGTCGCTCTGTACCACTGAACTTGAGACTACTCAGTCTACAGACGTGTTGCAAGACAGCAGTCTGAGTTTAGGGTGAGCAAACAGCACCCAGGGCACTGCTGCCCTCACTGGGTCCCCTGGATTCACTCATTCCAGAGCACAGATTATATTACCAGATGTGTGGCGGCAAGCAGTGTGGGGAAAAACTGACAGACAGGCACTGACCTTCTACCTTCCTTCCCTGAGCTCTTTACCCGACCACAGTTCACAAGCTCAACCCCCAGCCGAAGTGAAAATGGGTATTGGATAACTCTTCAAAACTGGATTCTCAAGTGCAGCCGTAGGTGACATTGATGGCATTTAAGTGCCAGCATGTATCTGCACTTTAATTATCGTTGCTGGTGAGCAAATGAATGAAGGACAATAACATACTGACTGCAGATTTAGGTCTTTAAAAAATACTTGAATTTGAATTAAATTAGTGCGTTTGTTTTAGAGGACATTGTTTTCTGGACAATAATAACCATCAATTTGGCAGTGAAATCAGAGGATAATAAAGTGTAATAACCTCGGGGTTATCTGCCTCAACTGCAGTCTTGCACCCACTGGCCTCACTGCCCTGCTACTCCTACAGAAAAAGTAAGAAAAAAAGAACTTGACCAACCTTCACCATGAGCATGTAGGCGATCATGTTGTGCAACAGAGTGGCCAACAGTCTGTCTTCGTCATCTTCCAAGCGTTTCCGATCATGTCCCCCCAATGACAGATACCTGCAGAGGAGGCAGAGGGTCAGCAAAGAAAACCTGCCAGTTCTGCCCCTTTGAGCACAGCATGAGAAGTATATCTATACATAC